TATCGTTTGGCAAAAAATTTTATTGTAGTCAATTAATATACAGCTGCGTAAGTGTTTAATCGTGATTAATACTTTTAGCTAATAGAAGTATTTCTTATAAGTTGCATAATATGATTTCAATGTTTAAAATTGGCTATGTGAATGGATGTTCAGCTGTGTTTCAGTGTTGCACAACTTTTAGCAACAGTGAAGTAGTTTTTTATTCTTCTGGACAAATAGCTGAACGAATAATATTATTCTTTATATAACTTGTAAATTTGTAAATTTTACCTTTTTCTTAGCTCAACTCTTTTTGCAGTCTTATTTAGATGTATAGTCTAAGTGTCTTTTTTTTGTTGTTCAAAGGTTTTTGAATTTTGTACTTTTGAATATGTCGCTTGTCATTGTTGAATTTAGTGGGAGGAAGTTCAGGGTAAGTTAGTAGGTGAACTATTCGACTTGATACCAAAATAGTGATCGATTATCATTTTGTACCATTTTTAGTGACATTCGTTTCAGATGTACAGCAAAAAATAAGTTGTTTCAGTATTTTATTTCTAACCGTTTATTTTTTCCTAGTTTTTTTCAGTCATAATAACGTGCTTTTTAACGCTTATGAACTTTAATTCTGAAACTTTCGTAAAATATAGACGCAATTTTTTTCCTCCTATTTTAGAATGGGAGGCGATAAAAATATAAAGTTTTTACAATTGACTCCGTTCGTTACCGCCTTTGAAGCTGACGGTCAAATGCTTCTGAGCCAATTTCCGAATAGAATGGCAGAATTAGGAATATAAAAATTCCGTAATAACTAAACAGGTTGTAGTCCCTCATTTCTTTAATTTTTAGTATCATTTATTGATTTGGTGACAAGCCGCGTAACATTGTACCCCTCTATCACCGCGTAATAGTGGTTTTAAATCACAAGATTTTGGTTTGCGAGAGAGATGACTCCAAATGTTTTCGAGTAGTGACGAAAGGTCACTGAATGTATATTAGTGACATATCGTTCTGACCTTACATTTGGTTAAAACAAATCAAACATCGTTTTTTGCAGCCTAGAAGTTTGGGGACCATTTTAGACAGGTCTTACCAAGCTATATACTTATGTAAGACGCAGTGGAGGGGTTTTTCTACCAAAGGCTCAATATTTTGTCATAATTTCGCTTTTCTGTATATTCATTTATACAAGTAATATTATATTATTTATATTAAACTCTTAAATATGGTTATTTTAAAGTAGTTTGGTATTCAACTCAGCACTTTCTGTAGAAGCTTTTCAAGAAGCAAACTAAGTCAGCATTTCTTTTTGTATTTTTTAATACGAAATTTCCTTTTTTTTTTTTTTTTTTTTTTTT